TTCAAACTCTGATTAAAAAGCTTGTAGTAGGAAATTCGGAGGGCTTCCACAATTCTGACAAGTCTACCATTACCATAGATAATAAATCTTCAATTGTCTGGTTAATTTAGTTGTAAAACATTAGCAAATACATGACATTTTAAAATTTTAATAACTATCAGAAAATAAAATAGGTAAGTAAATGAAACTAAATGTAACAATAAATATATCTCATTTATTTCCAAATGCAGGCACAGAAACTGAACTTGTTACACAATTCTTTCTTATATATGTAATTTTAAATGTAATACAAATGAATTCTTAAAGCTTATTTGATGGTCATTTATGACGTAGTACAGTAGACATTTCACATTCAGTAGGTAATAAAAATCAGAAGATATGTATCTATATAGTATATATTGTCAGCTGTCACTTTATTAAGATATTTTAATGATACATATTTATCGAACAACTGGCGAGTTAGTCGTGAATCGATTTCACTAAACTTGTTCATGTCACTGAACGATCGAGACATGACGAAAGAAATGACAGATAAATTTAGTGCGAGGAGAGCGGATGTTCCTTGCCCGTAAAAAAAATATCGGTTGTCTGTAAAGTCGGTTTACTGACGATAGTTGAACGTGACAACGTCATACGAAAATACTGATGGAATGGTTTCATTTTTCAAAAGAAAATTATAATTTTATTTGTTTGATAGATATTTTTCACTTTTCACTGAACTTCAAACTTGACAAAAACATGTAAACAAATAGCAACTGTCCACGCGGATGCATCGCTCACTCAAGTAAGATAGAGACAGATGTCGAACATTGCCGAGCGCGGAGGCCGATTGTGCCTCTTTGTCGATCGTTGCGCGCTCTCGCTTGCACTTCAAGCCTTAAATGGAACGCCTCAGAGCGAGGTAACGCCGCATGAGTCATGTTTTTTCGTGCGTGCAGCCGGGTCCATCGAATTATAAGACGTTGTCACGTCAAAAAGACGTGATGCTCGATTCAGTGATGGACTGTCATGAAGACACTACGCTAGCAAGATCTCAACGACCGGAGCAATATAACGGCACAGTAATACATCACTAAATTTCTAGTTTAGAAATAAGTTTATGGATGAAAAACGAATATCTATGGTTTTTTTTTTCAATTTCCATAAATAGAATATTTATGGAAATTGAAAAAAATCATTGTTATTTAATTTGTTACATAAATTTCGTAAAAAAATCCTTTTTTGAATTTGCGTGTTTACAAACTGCATAGTTCAAACTATCCAAACCTAAGAAAAAATTACAATTAAATACATATTTTATCTGACTTCAGATTTTTATGGTATATAAATCATAAAATTGCATTTAAAAAATGTCTAAATAAAAAATATTAAGAAATTTCCAACATTGTCTTCATACACAAATACAAATATAATAAAAACCTCAATGTGCTATTTTGTCAATTAAAAGATTGCCTTTTTGAGACTATTACTGTATAGAAGAAACAATTTTGTGTCTACCAGATAACTTGATACAAAATTACATAACTCACTACATTTGTATGTTTTTAAAATGAGATTCTTCTATAGCGAATGTTTTGTTTTGCATATATTAGTACTATATAATTATACAAATATATTTTTTTAAATAATATTTAAATTACGACTGGCAATAACATACACATGACCGGAACATGACCCTATTTATTTAATGTTTAATATTTATTTCATATCTATGACTATATGCTGACGTATATCGAATCTACCTACGCACGTGTTCCCTGACACGATTATTATTTAAATATAAGGTCTAAAAATAGACGCTATGTAATGAAAATACAAATAGTGCGTCGTGCGAGGTCAACGACCACATCCGCCAGCTACCTTCGTCTTAGATTGCGGGCTCAATAACTGTTACTTTTTTTCCTTATCTAAGCTGGTGGCAGAGGCTATGCCAGCATAACCTAATCGTGTAGGTGAGCTCTCGGGGCTCTAACCTTGCGGCGTTGTTAACATTAGCACTAGCAAGAGCCGTGCTTCGCAGAATCTACCACCGGATCGGAAACGCGACCCAGTGAGAAGATCCGAAACTTTTACATGTTATTTATGCTCTTATATATTACAGCTGCGTATTGTTAAGGTGCTAGTAAACGGGCTAGTTTTTTGACAACTTCTTGCTCCAATATTATAGCCGCCAAGTTGCTGATTGTATATCTCAACACAGTGCAACAATTGCTGTATAGCCCGGCGATATTGTCAATATATTTCATTATAGTTGCAAGTATTTAATGTCTAGCCGGCCACATTGCAAATGATTTATCCCGCTTTAACTTCACTGCAATATTGCCGTATATCGTCTTTGCTCTGATGTATAGGTCCATCCCTTTTCCGTCGCTCACCTCCCCTTGCCTTTCTTATGTTTGTATCTTCTTTTTTGATCAATGGTCCAATTGTATTCAACAAATATTCGAAGTCACTTTTGGACATCCCAGTGAAGTTTTAAAACAGATATTTATCGAGAATCAGCTCTTTGTCAAGGTTAGTTATGAACGCTCGTCTATTTAAATATGGCGGGATCCACACTCTTCTTCTAGATTTCGGTTTCTTTAAACGATGACATAAAATAATAAAAGCTGCAGCAATGGCCACATTTTTTTTTATTGCCCATATGACATCTTCTGTATCCACAATTTTTTCTTGCGAGATCTACCCACAATATGCCCCGCATGTATGAGCAAAACTCCTCAGCAATCCAGTTGCCGAATCTTGAAGGGCTACACTCGGCAATGTATTGCAAAATAAAATTGCAACAAGGGTAAAGTTGCAAATATATTGAGCTATATTCAAGTCAAGAAAAATAACCAACAAGATGCAATTTTTATAGCCCGTTTACATAAAGACTTACTGTTTTAATTTAAATACACTTGGAAACATCGCAAAAGACGCTGTAAGAAATTGTTGCTGATATTCTCAAACATACAATGAAGTTAGCTCCATTTTATTATTAATCCAAATTATTCATTATTCCACGTATCGGTATTAAGGGAACATCTAACAATATTTATATAACTTTTCTTTATATGACATCGTACCGCTTAGAGCAATCTATACTTACGAAACAGCCTTTGGATTGTCGAAATTAATTAATTAAGCACCTCGATACCATTGACGCATTTTAGCAATTTATTGTAAAACTGCTTTGACTATGTTACCTTTGAGCCGTAGTAGTAAATTGTTTTGTTTTGCTGTCAATTGTCAACATTTATTAGATAGTGAAAACAGAACGCCGGGCCATGTCTAAAATTAAATATCTATCGGATTTGAATCGCGCAAATTGATGATATTTTTTAATTTTTTAAATAAATTTGATGTTTATGGTTAAATAAAAAACAGTTAGTTTAAAATTTATAGACTTCGAAATGTGTCTAATGTACCTCAGACTTTAGATAATACGATCACAAAAATATTACTCGAAATAATAATTACATTTGATTGGAATTCGATTTAGAATATTTTTTTAATAGCCCTACAACAATTATAGTATTGTGGTTAACTTAATTAAATACAAATAAATTCTATTGTCATGTTCTTATAATAAAATGCAATGGAAAACAAAATAATATTTTTTTCTAAATTTTCTCGAGTCATTTAGACGTAGAATGTACCTCATAATTCAGTTCCTCAGAAACAAGTATTTTCTTCTATATTAAATCCAAGAATAACTTACAGCCATACAATAAAAAAATTGACATCATGAAGGTAGAATATTTTTGTTTCTTAATAAATAAATAAAAACAAAATAATTTAGGTATATTGGTTAAAAAAAAAACAGTAGTTTTAAAATATGGAAAGTACAGTTGTTGTGTTTTCACGTTTTCAAATAATGCCACACTGAAATCTAAATAAACAGTTAATTGTTTCGGTAATTACTCATAGATTATCAATTTACATACTTGGTAATTTTATCTTACAAAAAAAAAAAACAGGAATGTCTTTAAGTACAACACCAGTACAATTGATATGTGTTAGAAGTTTTTTATTTGAAATTAAAACTATCATGATGTTTATATAAACATTTTTAAATTGACATTTTATTTTTCATTTTCTAGTTTCATCAAGCAGTAGGTACTAATAATCTAAGTACTCCTTTGAGATTATGAATGAACACATGGCAAAGACGTTCGGCTCAAAATGAAAGATACAAACAAAAATAAAACAGTTTCTGCATTACATAATGGCTGTCAATTTTTAACAATTGTAAATTTGCTTTATAAATAGTTTGTTTATTCAAATTGAATGCTACTTACACTAACATAAGACAAAATACAATCTAATCAAACTATTTAAGTAAACGTAATTGAGACCACGAGAATCAATATTGACTTACACAAAAATATTGGTTCACTTTATCTAGGGAGTTATATGAGTACCTTATTTATATAACTTTATATAATATATTGGTCGACATATTTTGCTGTGTGATTTTTATATAAAAATATAAACTAACGAAGGCTTCGTTTCGTTGTATTATTTAACTTACGACATACAGGGTGTATTGGAGTTGTTCATGCTTAACGCGAACACTAATATATTTTTCTCTTTTTTTTTGTATATGATGGAATATAAAACTCTAAATTCAGTCGACGCTTGTCATCTTCTAGTTACGAAGAATGAATTCACCAAAAACGATAAGAATTCATTCTCGGTTTAGCGAACGATTGTATTGTTTATCGTTTACGTAGAGCAGCTTATCGCTTTCGTAAACGTTACACCCTGTATGTTGAGTAAAATATAAATAAGGCCGTCAGCGCAAAAGTGGCCTAAGCTTACCATAGTTAGTATGCAGGCGATTAGGTTTGAATTTTCATGAATTCGAATTTGAGTAGGCAAAAAAAAACAATACGCGCAAAAATAATGTTTACAAAGCTATCTGTTATCTGTGGCTGAAACTATGGAGAGGCCGGATTTGCATCAAAATTTATTATATTTTAAATAAATTCCAATATACGTCATATAAGCTTGAATATAAAAAATATGTGGGTTAGGCCACTTTTGCGTTGATGGCCTCAAATATTCATTTTGAATTTTTGTGGAGTTGAGATGACGGTTCTCGTGTTCTCAATACGAGTCGACCTCACCAGTTGGGCGTTTTCTGTTTGACGGTCCACTGCTGGTAAGTGTTGTTTGGGTCGCAGGGCGCGAGGCCGAGCTGCCCGGAGTGAGGCTGCAGCGTGAGGCAGTGCCCGTGTAGCCGGTGCACCAGCTGATGGCGCTCCTCGTTGTAACTTAACGATCACAACAATTTATTTATTTATTTCTTAGATGTGTAGACGAGCTCACAGCCCACCTGGTGTTAAGTGGTTACTGGAGCCCATAGACATCCACAACGTAAATGCGCCACCCACCTTGAGATATAAGTTCTAAGGTCTCAACTAAACTTACCGGCTACTTAAGCCAGTCACCAAGGCACCGAGGCAGTGAATTGTCGTGGCTTAAAGGATAAGACGTCCGGTGCTATCCGGTGCTAGCGGTGCACCGGATAGCACCGGACCGGTGTTCGAATCCCGCAGGCAAGTACCACTTTTTCTAATGAAATACGTACTTAAAAAATGTTCACGATCGACTTCCACGATGAAGGAATAACGTGTAGTAAAAATGAAACCCGCAAAATTATAATTTGCGTAATTACCGGTGGTAGGACCTCTTGTGAGTCCGCACGGGTGGGTACCACCACCCCGCCTATTTCTGTCGTGAAGCAGTAATGCGTTCCGGTTTGAAGCGTGGGGCAGCCGTTGTAACTATACTGACTTATATCTTAAGGTAGGTGACGGCATTTATGTTGTAGATGTCTATGGGTTCCGTTAACCACTTAACATCAGGTAGGCCTTGAGCTCTTCCATCCACCTAAGCAATAAAAAAATACCAATTGCTTTCTTTGTTTGTAGTCAGAAAATAAATTAATATTTTATTTGAAAACTTCGATATCCTTTCTAAAGACAACAAAACACCACCACACTGTATTTTTTGGCATATTACATCGAAATAAATTGGTGGGTTGAAACGACTTAGTCGTGGCGCTGTCGATGGCTATTTCGCGTATAAGAAAGGAGGCTGCCAATAAATTTTAGAAAAAAGTAAATAGATACCAACCTCCATGGTCCGTCAACGGTGCCGAGTCTGCATATGGCCTGTTTAACATTGTCTCCGTCGGTCTCCACGCACCGCTCGCCGACGCCGAGCTGGCCGGCCTCATTCAACCTGAACAACTGGCTGTTGCCCATCCCGTGGCACGACGACGTACCTGATCAAAACATTTTTTAAAGTGATTTTATGACCTGGTAACTAAGACCTTTAAGGCATGTCTTATTATAATTAATATTCTTATTTTTATGAAAAATGATAATATGGAGTGAAAGGAAATGAAAGAAACGAAGACGATTAATTTGAGGCATTAATCAACTGGGATGAAATGAAATGAAACGAGATGAGATGACACGAGATGATATGGAATGAAATATAATCTTAGTAAAATGGTGGTCATTTACTGAGATTTTTTCAGTGGACTTTTTGGAAGTTCCCGAAAAATTACGTCCGAAGTTATGTATTCATTTAAAGAGTTCGAAGTTATGTATTCGATTTAAAGAGATCGATATGGTAAAAGGTTGGATTGCTGCTGAGAATATTTATTCTCATAGTATGTTTTTTCCCCTACCTAATAGTTGATAGTCTAAGGGGCTATTCCAACTTTAGGCGAACCGGTATATGAGCTCACGAGCTCAACCTAAGAGTATTGCTCACACTAGCCCTCGCAAGAGCAGTGCTTCGCTGAATCTACCACCGGATCGGAATCGCGACTCACTGAGAATATCCGGCGACAAACTCAGTTAACAAAGTATGTTGTGTACGCTTACCGATATAGGCCGGAGCGGCTTTCCCCATTGTATCCAAGCAGGCACCAGTCGCTTTGTTCTTCACCATACCCCAGTGAACGTTCTTAGGGAGCTTCGGGAACTTATCGTACACATCGTACGCAACGTTTTCCATGAACCAACCGAAGCTTTTGCACTTCAAGCGTTCTTTTAAGGCCACCTGTTCGCTTATGTCGCCCATGTCCAAGAAGCGCGCCATCGGCTCCCTCGTGTAGAAGTACTCCTTGTGCTCCTCATCGAACCAGGTCTCGATGACGCGTTTGTAGTTTATCGTAATGAGGGAGCCTTTGCGATTCTTCGCCAAGTTACCGAACGTATACGGCATGAAGGCTCTGTATACGTGACCTACTCGCGAGCACGGCACCCATTCTATGCTGCCACCGCATTGCCATATTTTGAAGCTCAGCTCAAAGTTCTCCCCTCCCCACACCAAGAGACCAGGGTCGTATGCGCCTATCTCTAAGAAGTATCGTCTGTTGATGGCGAACAGGCCTCCGGCGTGTGTCGGACTCTTATACGGCTCCGACTTGTGCTTGTGAAGATGCGCTTCTCTGTCGGGCACTTCGTTCTCTTTGTACAACATACCCCATTCAAATATACCTCTGTAATTCGTTCCGTGTTGGTATACGGGTCTGTATTCGAATGTGTTGTAATCTATACCGTCTATAACGGGCACGGTCATAGTTCTGTAGTCCCTGTATATGGGGGCTAAGAGCGGAGGGAGCCAGTTGACATTGACTTCGCAGTGAGCGTCAAGGAAGACTATGACGTCGCCGGTCGCTTCTTGGGCCCCCCTCGATCTGGTACGAATCAGTCCCTCGCGTTGCACATTACGCACAAGACGCACTTTACCATTCCACCTCTTTATGTAATTATCTAAATTTTCTTTTAAGTCATCTTTATCGGAGAAATCATCAACCTGTGTAATAATTTTTAATAAAACATCATTAATTACATTGTTAACTCGTTGCCGGTAATTTTCAATGATAATATGTTATACGAGTTAAAATGCTTATTCAAATTTAAACAGCTGCTCATTCGCGTATTAGTGTTTAAATATTTAAAGAATATGATAGTCGTAATTTAAAAAGCAAGTCTGATCGAGTAGATTCCTAGATAAAGGTGCCAAGTACAGGTTTCCATATCTGAACGATAAAATCAATTGACAATAGATAGTTAATTAGAAAACTTTGTTGCCGGCAATCTTGTAATCTTTTTTTTTTTGTTTTGTTATTTTCAATATTAATAGCTTGATAAATTACGAGCTTCCAAGAAAAGATTAATTCTTCGATTTTGTAACGTTTTTTTTTTTCACTTATCTCCAAAGCATCGTATTTCGTTAAGAATCGCAATTACTAGATTGGGTAAGCCTGTACAAATTGTGTGTCAAACTTTTCAGATATATTAAATGTTTACGTAATTAGAGTAGATTAAATTAACATTATTACATTCATTACTGTTGTGAATGTTACAGTATTTATAAATAAAATGTATTTTTAGGAATAGCTAATAAATTTTTTACTTCTGAATCGAAAAAAAATAATTAGTACGCCTCGGCCACAGGAGTGGCTTAGCCGTTAGTATGGTCGTCCATTAAATCAGTACTCACCAAGACGACTTCATGCAGAAATTGCGGAGGAGTTCTGTTAATAACGCTGTGGACGGTTCTCATGAGAACGGAGAAGCCCTCATTATGGAAGACGATGATTACAGATGTCTTGGCCAGATCTTCGGGGTAGTGCCAGTATTTGCATTCATCGAGCCGCGTATCCGGTATCGATCTGGTATATATTTTTTTTCAAATAATGATATAATAATAATACAAGAAAGATTACCTCTCACCTGTGTGCTTAATGCGAGTTTTTTAACGTTCTCGATTGCGTAAAAGTTAACTCAAATTTGTATGGATTTGGAAAGTTTGTCTACGTTTGCCGCTAGGGGCGCTATTCCAACTGCATACAAATTTAAGTTCACTTTTACGCTATAAAGAACTCGCACTAAGTACACTGGAGATGAGCGGTATAGACAAACAGCCTAACCTGAATGCCGGGCCTACTCTCGGATATATCGGTCTTAGTTTTATTTCGGGACGCGTGACTGTTTCGTGTATCGAAATAAATAATACCATCACGTATGGGCTAACAATACAAAGACAAAGGCACAAACTAAAGCTGTTCTTGAACTTTCGAAATATTATCTCGCTGAGAATTGCATGCATGGAAAGACTATAGGACCAAACATCGTGGCAAGGCCTAAGTCCAGCAGTGGACGTCTGTGGGCTGATAGAATAGAATATACATAGACATAGAATTACCTGTTCATTGCAATATCATTTGATGCAGCTATATTCATTCCGTATTTACTCTCAGTCTCTGCTACATCATTGGCATGCTTCTGTGACATGTGGTATGGCTTACCCTCTTCACCTGGCCCTTTGATAATCTTCTTGTCTCTAGGTTCAAAGTTGCCCAATTCTAAAATAAATAAAAAAATTGTTACCTAGTTCTTTTCCAGTGTTTCAGTTCACATAAAAAATCTTTTTCATCAAGCTTTCACTGTAAGAGCACTTTCATAGGAGAAAATGCCAGATCATCTCCCACAAAAATTCATCTTTAATTATCTCGCCACATGCATACACTTCATTTTTAACATGTAGCTTAGCAAATATCCTTGTCTAATATGGGTAATTTTGGCATTTACTTTACTTTAAAATTACTCTGCTTTATTTTATATTCTCAATGTCTTCTAGTGACTGATTTCGCTTTTGAACCCTATGCTGTCTAAGATGAATAAGTTCAGAGATGGTGTTAAATGGTTACTAGAGAGCCCATAGACATTTTAACCACTACTAAACTGAGATGATGAGGTTTAAATCCCAATTATATCATACAATGGCCATCCCTCCCTTGAAATCTGAATGCTGAACTGCTTCACAGTGAAATAGGCAAGGTGGTGGTATATACCTGTGGGGGCTCACAAGAGTGTAATAGATTATTACACCAGAAATCAGACTATGGTACCACGGGTACCATCCCAATTTCATTTCTAGTTGAAGTCACTATGTATGATAAAGCATCAGGTATCTGGTTTTACTTATTATTCCCTATCTAATTGTTTTTAACCTAAGGGGTTACTCCAACTATTCAGTGTGGTAAGTAACCTCACATGCTCAAGCGGAGACAATTGATAGCACCAGCCCTAGCAAGAGCAATGCTTCACTGAATCTACAACTGATTGGAATCGCAACTCACTGCGAAAGTCCAAAATGAAACTCAGTGGGTAGTTAGGTCAGTGGCTGGTGCTTGAAGAGCCTAAAAGCACAGAGAGTGGATTCAGAGGGTCCAAAAAGACATGTTTTGGGCGACATCAGCTTTGCATTGCCTTGTCACTTAGGAAGGACATGTTGGATTTAAATTTCTTTTTCTACAGAATAAAATAGTAGCTTAAGGCCATATTATGCTTTTTTTTTAAGTGCAAAAAATTAATATTAATTGATTACCTATTATGTAATTAATTGTTTGAATATTTTTTATTGTACACTAATATACAACATAACAAACAACAAACAAACACACACACACACATGTAAACACCTACATTTTCTAATAAAAATAAAATCGGTGCTATAAATTTTACTACAACTTTCATTTTACCTGTATTGTTTAAATTAAATGTTACATCTCACTGATTTACAGCGTGTTTACAATACATTTTTACACTCGGAAATAATGCCTATCGTCAAGCTATGTATAAAACCACACAATGCGTTTTACTGACGTGACAAAAACAATGCGAACTAAGTATTTAGTGGCTGGTCGGGTTCTGAGTCGCCGGCGAATCTACACATAACTGTAAATTGACTGGCCGAATTTTTTTAAGACACTCCTCTTATTTTAAATTTATAGTTACATTAATATATTACCTGTTTTAAGCACTGGGTAAACATCTTTGTGAGATTTGTAATAAGAAGTTTCCGAATCCGCAAGTAGCACTACGTCAGTATTTTCTATGTTTTCACTGGACCATTTGTGCAAAGCATATATGAGAAGTAAAAGTACAGTGCACGCTGCTCCCATACGAACTAACCTACCCCGTCTAAGGTTTGTTATTCTCATTTTAATTCTTTATTTAATACATAACAAAATTATTTTCGTTTACAATTCTTCACGACCACTCGCTTCGCAATTTTTCCTCTTTAAATTTCTTTACCCACTTGCGGCTTGCGAATGACAAAATTGCCAAATGTCAGTGATGACCATAGATAAAACACATAATTTTATTTACAATTATTTGGTGATCACTGACGAATTCTAGCGATGCAACGTCAACAATAACACCGGTCACTCACATGCGCACGAATACGCAAACCCGCAAGTGTAGGACGACATTTGCAAATGAATATGCAAAGTTTTCGCTACATTCGTGGTTTTCCAAGCTGTGTCGGTTTTTTAACAGACATCAAAGCGCGCGAACCTCGAACCTTCGCGTAGTCTCCCACACATTCGCTTGCCCAGTTGCGCCGACGATTGCGAAGGCAACGGACGTATCGCCATTTTCATAGTTCGTGACGTCTACTGTGTAGCATCTCTTCATCAAAATGAATCCCATAAAAACAGCATGGCTGTTAATGATGTCTGAGAAAGAATTCAAAACTCTTTTTCTCTTCATTGTTCTATTGACGAATTAAAAAGGAGGAGAAATTCGTGAGACATTCGTAAACAAGTGTGGGAGGAAGCGCAAACGGGTTCGCAAATTGAGTATGCGAGCCCATTTGCACAGCTGCTAAGTTTGCGAATGAATGTATGACGGCCCTTCACATGCGCGCAAACATTCGTACAATGTACGAATATTTGCCCGCATGTGAGTGGCCGGCATAAGGCTTATATTATGTGTATAATCTATGATAGGGCTGTCTCCTTAAAAACAGACTATTCGAACTTAAATATTAGATATTAAACTAAAAAGAGGTATTAATATTCTTCGACTAACAATAAGTAGATATTAAACGAATAATAGCGAAAACATATCCGATCCTGTAAACCGAACGGTAAAAAGTCGATGTCACCCTAAATACGTCATTAAGGATCCTCCCGATCCATTAACGGTGCTTTTAGGTACCTCAAGCACCGGTCACCGTCCTCGCCGAACCCATCGCTTGCGACGAAGGTCTCGGCGAGTGAATTAACTCACAGACACAGCCCACGAGTTTCTCGCCGGATCTTCTGAGTGGGTGGTGATATAGCCTCTCAAGGCTATCAGCATAGGTAGGATAAAAATAAAATAAAAATAATAATCGCGCAAATTACCATGGGCTCATTCGAAATAACATAGTATGGCTTAATCATAACCAAAACTGTCCAGTCGCTGCCGCTATATTGTACGGTGACCACGTTGCGTTGCACCACATCACAAAATGACGCGAAAAGTAAACGACACGGAGAACTTAAAGATTATTCAACTATACCGCGATAATGAATGCCTGTGGGATAATAAATCACAAAATTATAGGAATGCGCGCAACAGCATTACAGAATATTGGCTAGCAAGGCGTCTCTCATAAATGTGTCTTGACGCTGAATAGAGCTTGATAACAACATAAGCAAATTATCAAATTCTTTTGGCGTCATTCTCAAAGCCAATTTGTATTCCCCAGGATCTTCAATTCTCAACTGTGTTAACAACAGAGCTGAGCCTCCAGTTTGATCGCTGTCACCTATCCATTTTCTTACCCAAATTAGCTTATTTTTAGATATTTCTTCTAGCATACCAGTTAGTTCTTGCATCATCACAAAGGTACCTTTTCTCAACAAATTATGAACTCTGAGATTTTTCTGTTTTCGCGAATTCATTTTTCCACACTTATTTTACAAACGTGTGTACCATATATACTTTAAGAAATATCCTCGACTGCTAATGAAGTATTGACTGCATATAAATCGTATGGGTCAGTTTTCAGCGCCAGCACTGACGTTAGTTACTGACTCAATATAAATCTGCCTTAATAGTTTAAAATTGTAGCACATACAGTGAGTGATAAATAATTAAACATATTTTTGACTTTGGCAAAAATACTTCATCATTAGGTATTCAAATTCTGATTTGGAATATTCGTGCCTAACACCGGTCACTCACATGCGCACGAATACGCAAACCCGCAAGTGTGGGACGACATTTGCAAATGATTATGCAAAGTTTTCGCTACATTCGTAGTTTTCCAAGCTGTGTCGGTTTTTTAACAGACATCAAAGCGCGCGAACCTCGAACCTTCGCGTAGTCTCCCACACATTCGCTTGCCCAGTTGCGCCGACGATTGCGAAGGTAACGGACGTACCGCCATTTTCATAGTTCGTGTAGTATAATAATATATACTGTGTAGCGTATCTTCATCAAAAGAAATCCCATAAAAACAGCATGGCTGTTAATGATGTCTGGGAAAGAATTCAAAACTCTTTTTCTCTTCAATGTTCTATTGACGAATTAAAAAGGAGGAGAAATTCGTGAGACATTCGTAAACAACTGTAGGAGGAAGCGCAAACGGGTTCGCAAATTGAGTATGCGAACCTATTTGCACAGCCGCTAGGTTTGCGAATGAATGTTTGACGGCCCTTCACATGCGCGCGAACATTAATGTACGAATATTTGCGCGCATGTCAGTGGCCGGCATAAGAATATTGTCACGCTAAAAACAACCGCTATGGTGAAAAACGAAATTGAATAAAATGCCTAGCTTTACATAAGGTTTGAGTGAAGTTTCTGTATATTTCTTTTATTTTCAGTAGATTGTAATTAGATGTAGATTTATTTATTAAATCTCAACTTTCACCTAATACGTCGAAAAATAAAATATGTATGGACTGTATTCCCATTGCTTAGGTATATAGAATCTGGTTTGACAAATTAATTAACGAAATGGTAACTTTTTGGCGGGAACGCGAGGAGTGAAGTTGTGTGATTTGTTTTATTTTGTCTATTTAGTGTTTCTTCGGGTTTAAATGTGTAATAATGGTTTACACATTTAAACATTTAATAATGGTTAATATTAACTGTTTAATATCTGTGAAAGTGCACAAATGTGGGAAAATGAAACAAAGCCGCTGGACGTAACTTCTCGGGATCCTCCAAAAAGTCCACTGAAAAATCTTAGTAAATGACCACCATTTTACTAAGATTATATTTCATCCCATATCATCTCAATTCATTTCATTTAATTTCATCTCAGTTGATTAATGTCTCAAATTAATCATCTTCATTACATTTCACTCCATAATATCATTTTTCATAAAAATATGAATAATATAAATTAAAATAAGACATGACTTAAAGGTCTCAGTTACCAGGTCATAAAATCTCTTAAAAAAAAACGAAATGGTCACCTATTGGTGGAATTACTTTTGAAATTATATTTGAACGGTCGGAAATAAACACAAAATTAATGAGAGATTATTTTGAAGTTTGCAGTAATAACGGTGCATCTATTATTTCTCTGAAGTGTTTGTTTACATTGTGAAATTAAGTTTGACACATTAAATTAAGTTACATAGTACAGAAATGGAAAAAGGTACCTATGCTTGCATCCATAAACATAATTTAATAATATAGTGCTTTGTGCTTAAGACCTTAAAATTCAAATTGATGCACTATCTAATTACTTCAATAAAACTTTTCAGCACAGGCATTTACATTAGAAAATTTCATTAGTAATTGGAATGGCGATTTTCCGAATTATCCTCTTACGCCTGCGGATCTTAAAATTCCTCAAGCTGTGATGGGAGCTCTGTTTCAAATATTCGACAGGCTTGGAATCGATCGCGACGCTGTACTTGCGGTGAGTTTTTTCCGTTGTCTCGCGTCGTAATAATTGCGTCACAGTGGCCAATGCCAACTACGCCGGTCCCGGGTCATCCAGGAGCCAATAACTGTCAATGGCCTAGGATCCACCTGATCCACACAATTATTAGACGCCTATAGTTCTAGCACTAGGAGCAGCCATGGAGACCCTACTAACTGTACTCGTTGAACTTGTAAAACTTGGACCTGCAAAACATCAGACCCCTGAGTTTCTCGTAGATGTTTTCAGCGGGTCGTGATTCCGATNCGCCGGTCCCGGGTCATCCAGGAGCCAATAACTGTCAATGGCCTAGGATCCACCTGATCCACACAATTATTAGACGCCTATAGTTCTAGCACTAGGAGCAGCCATGGAGACCCTACTAACTGTACTCGTTGAACTTGTAAAACTTGGACCTGCAAAACATCAGACCCCTGAGTTTCTCGTAGATGTTTTCAGCGGGTCGCGATTCCGATTCGCTAGTAGATGCATTCTCGAAGCAGCTGTCCTGAGCAACCAGACTACTTCAGCAGTCCCGTGGTAGTTGTTAGCCATCCCACCCCTCTCGGGCTGAGCTTGCCCCTGATGAAACTGGAATGGCCTTTGGGCCACCAGTAATCCATCTGAAGAAAATCTGTTATCTCACTGTCCTATTTATTTTGAATAACTTTATTTTAACAATGCTATCATCAGAATCTGGCATCATCTGATCAGCAAAAAATATTAGATTTCTTTAAAAAATGAACAACAGTCACATTGTTTGAACTAAATAGTTTATTTAATAATTTTTCAGCCACCCCCTGAAGAAAACTGTAACGAGCACACAATATATTACTGGGACCTCTTACCGGTGATCAACATGACGCGTGTAATCAATCATCTTGTATCTGTTATGCCTCAAGTTTCTACAATTAGCATATCGCATTTCCTGCAACCAACAGCAATAACGTCGCATTCAATACTTCTGTTGCTTTTCAATTTGATGCTTTTTAATGAAGGGAGATTAAGAGATATTGCTCCATTCGAGGAAGAATTATTTGCCAAGACAGATGAGGTAAGAAAGTATTATTGGGATCCTTATCAAATATTTTATTAATTTATTGCATAGAAAGATAAAAAAAAACATCTCAGCACTTTAGGCATAAGTAGGTTACCGAAGGCCAACTTGAGACAATAGTTTGAAGTTACACTTGGAGTATAATATATAGGCAATGTGAGTGAAATTAAACTCACAAAATTTCTAAATTAACTAAGCCAGCATAGCTGGAGAGCAGTAAGAACCTGTGCCAGCTTACTTAAATAAAAAATGTGAGTTTGATTTTTATTACATATTACTTCAGTGGGAAAGTTAGTTGAAGTAAAACATGCTAAGTATGTATTATTACCTTGGAAAGACTGGTACCTGTCTGCAGACTTTTATAACTATCATAGTCTTATCCTTTATGTCATGGTGCCTTTATTTGCTCAGTCTCTTTTTCTAGATTAAGGCAAGATCAAAAAATTTGCAAACCTTGACAGATCAAATTATTTGTGTAATTTCTAAAAGTAGCAAACTCTGTGGCTTATCTGACAGTTGCTTAATCAGATTATTGATTCCAGTATAAAATGATTTCAGGTGAAAGCTTTAGAAAGTCGCAAAAACAAACTATTAGAAATGTTAAATCAACAAGCTGAAGAGAAAGGGAAAAGAGCAGAGAGATTAGAAAATGTATGTATGACTTTATAAATTTAATTTGTTTCTTACAATCTTAGTTTTTTCATTTGGTCTAGGCATTATTTCTCCAGTTTGGTGGAAGGGTATATTTATCTACTAATTATAATTTTTGTTTAGTTGGATCAGGATATTAAAATGTTTGAAGAGGAATTAAAACAAGAAAAAGAATACTATGAGGAAGAGAAATTAGAGTTAGATGCTATCATCAAAGAGAATAAACAAGTTGAGATGCTTCAAGACCAAAAGAAATCACAAAGGGACAGTTTGATAGCTGAGCTGGAGCGGAAACGGGCACTCAGGGTCTATGATGCTGACGACATTAAAGCACAGGCTACAAAGGCAGCTAAAGATGTCCAAGAGTCTGAGGAGAAACTCAAATCTTTGAGGGAAACCCTGATGCAAAAGGAAAATAATTTGAAGAATTTGCAGACAACCAAGCCCAATCTGGATACAGCTAATAATCTTTTGCATGAAATTATAAAACTTTCTGATGAATTGAAGTATGTGTATTTGATTATTTGAAAAAAAAAACAACCAGATAATTTAAAATGTTAATGCTTTAAAATTTAAAATTAATTAAATTTTATCCTATTCAGTATTAAGGGTTGGTTCAATTAAATTTGATTCTCACTAAGTAACTTGATATTTGACTCTTGGTGTACTTCTTTTACTTGCAATCGGAGTACTGCAGCAGTACTGCGATTGCTATTATGACACTGAAAGACACAAACATATGGCGACCTCTACCATCTTTTATCTCTGCTATATTGTTGGTTGACAATGTTTAGTAATTCGTTCTCATTCTTTTTCATCAGGGAGTTGGAATCAGGTGATTTAGACAGTGAAAGTAAAGAAGGTGAATTGGATGTACTCAAAACTGAGTTAAGTGAGTTGAACGCTCAGCTTAGTGATCTGCAAGCAGCTAGAGAGGATGCTATGATGAAGAGACAAGAGTCTCAGGCGAAACGACAAGAGGAAAAAACTTTGGCCCTCAGGTAAATTTGTATCTGTCAAATATCACTGTGTGAAATATGTGCATGTGTTCAAATTCCACAGGCAAGTACCAATTATTCACATGAAATATATGTACTTAATATGTTCTCACGAATGGATTCCACGAAAAAATAGCGTTGTGTAATAAAAGTCATAAATCATAATCATGCAAAAGATATAATTTTATGCAATTACTGTTGGTAGGTCGTCTTGGAAGCCTGCATGTATAGCTATCGCCACTCTCTCTCTCTCTCTCTCCCTCTCTTTCTCTCTCTCTGTCTTTCTCTCTCCTCTCTCTCCTCCCTTTCTCTTTCCCCCTCTCCCTCTCTCTCTCCCCCTCTCCCTCTCCCTCTCTCTCCCCCTCTCCCTCTCTCCTCCTCTCCCTCTCTCCTCCTCTCCCCCTCTCTCCCTTTCCCCCTCTCTCCCCCTCTCCCCCTCCCTTGCTCGCTATCATTTGTATATGCTGATTATTATGGTGCGGTAAAGAAATATTTTTCTATCCCTGTCAGCGCCTTGCGTGAAGCAGAAGAAAGAGACAAGAAATGTCGTGAACGAAACAAGTCTGCTCTCCAACGCACCGAAGAGATTAAGGAGCTCACTATCAAGTATGAAGCAGAAAAAGCCAAGTGTCTGGAAGAACTAGCTTCCGTTAAAAACAGTTTTTGCAATGAGGTGATTATTCAGATTTTCAAATATGATATGTAAATCGGAAAGTACAATATATTTATTTTTTAGATAATTAAGGAGCCCTGCCTATAGTCATTGGCTAATAAACTCGATCTTCGAATTGAAGAAGAATTTATAAATGTAGTTTGGTTAACAAACATTCTTTAATAGTTATTTTAGTTATGGGATAGCACGAACATGTAGTTAATTAAAATTATTTATGTATTATATTTATTTACCTATCTATACAATGCGTCTGTGAACTAGTGTCGGAGACTTAAGTAGGGTAAAATATGGGGAATTTTTATCGACAAATCACTATTCCAATTTTCTCTTGGCCCCTCCTAAATATCCTGTATTATAAGAAAACAATAAAATTTTTAGGGGATTTAATGACCGGGTAACTAAGATCTTTAGGTCATATTTTATTTTAAGTTATATTCATATTTTTATGAAAAATGATATTATGGAGTGAAATGAAATGAAGATGATTAATTTGAAACATAAATCAACTGGGATGAAATGAAATGAAATGAAATGGAATGTAATATGATATCAGTAAAATGATGGTCATTTACTAAGATTTTTTCAGTAGACTTTTTGGAGGATCCCGAGAAGTTACGTCCAGCGGTTTTGTTTCATTTTCCCACATTTGTGCACTCTCACAGGTATTAAACAGTTAATAAACCACCATTATTACACATTTAAACCCGAAGAAACACTAAATAGACAAAATAAAACAAATCATACAACTTCATTCCTCGCGTACCCGCCAAAAAGTCGAAAACAATAAAAAAAAATTGCTTGACCAGGTTAGTTTTCATGAAAAAATAAAATATATATACTCTGTTTTTATTGTCAAACTTTTGTTATTATTTATAGTCAGTGGTCAAAATGAGAATTGAATAATATTGTTCGTCTTTAATATTATTTGTCTATAGCCTTGGCGAAATCTGTGATTATAGAAGTATAATAGACAATAGAACCATAATAATGTTCAAACTTATAATTTCAATGAATTATAGTCGAATATCGACCACTAGTTTATTAAGAACAATTTAAACTTAGTCTGGCCATAAATACTGTTACAATTAAAAATAAACAAAATATTACATTTGAATTTGGAATCTGTCATTTTTATATGATTGCTCATTGAGTTTTCTCATTTTGGCGCCAATACATTGTATAATATTTTTCGATATTAAAATGGAGTGGGGTGATAAAGAGAACCGAATCACTGTGATTGCATTACACAAAGTAGGTGCCAAATGCAATATTTAAAACTCTCCATATGTTTGCTATTAGTAAAATGTTTGTGTACCGGGCTATTAATAGGTGCAATGAGACCTCCTCTGTTTGTGACAGAAAAAGATCTGGCCGTCCACGTAGTGTTCGTACGAAAAAGGTGGTCAAAGCAGTAAGGGAAAGAATTTGAAGAAATCCTGTCCGAAAGCAAAAGATTTTATCTCGGAAGATGAAGATAGCACCTAGAACTATGTCGCGTATTTTAAAAGATGACTTAGGACTTGCAGCCTATAAGAGACGTACTGGTCATTTCTTAACTGATAATTTAAAAGAGAATAGGGTGGTAAAATCGAAACAACTACTGAAGCGGTACGCAATGGGAGGTCATAGAAAAATTTTGTTTACGGATGAGGAAATTTTTACAATTGAGCAACATTTTAACAAACAAAATGACCGTATTTATGCTCGAAAGCTCTAAGGAAGCTTCCCAATTAGTCGATAGAGTGCAACGTGGGCACTATCCGACTTCAGTGATGGTTTGGTGGGGTATTAGCTATGAAGGAGTGATCGAGCCATACTTTTGTGAAAAAGGTATCAAAACATCGGCACAAGTGTATCAAGATACCATTTTTGAGAAGGTAGTGAAGCCCCTTAACAACACCATGTTCAATAATCAAGAATGGTCCTTCCAGCAAGACTCGGCGCCAGGTCGTAAAGCTCGGTCTACGCAGTCTTGGTTGGAAACGAACATTTCGGACTTCATCAGAGCTGAAGACTGGCCGTCGGCTAGTCCCGATCTTAATCCGCTGGATTAAGATTTATGGTCAGTTTTAGAGAGTACGGCTTGCTTTAAACACCATGATAATTTGGAGTCCCTAAAACAATCCGTACGATTGGCAGTGAAACATTTTCCCATGGAAAGAGTGCGTGCTTCTATTGATAACTGGCCTCAACGTTTAAAGGACTGTATTGCAGCCAATGGAGACCACTTCGAATAAGCTTTTTATACTTTAAATTGTTTTATATTTATGTATTAAACTAACACACTGTAAAAGTAATAAATGTTATTTGCAATATAATTTTTTTTATTTTTAATTGTAGCAGTATTTATGGCCAGACTAAGTATAAATGAATTGCTGTTCGTTAGTCTCGCTAAAACTCGAGAACGGCTGGATCGATTTGACTAATTTTGGTCTTGAATTATTTGTGGAAGTCCAGAAAAGGTTTAAAAGCTAGATACATATGAAAATGCTCGGAATTAAATAAAAATAACAATTTTTTTTTTCCTTTGATGTGTCCCCCGTCGGACGGATTCCTTTTGTTGGTTTTAAGTTTATTTTATACAGAAGTTTAGGTTTTTTTATTTATCGATTGAGGCACTACGAAGTCTGCCGCGTCAGCTAGTTTATTAATATTAATGTACTCGGAGATCAAGTTACACTCACAGATGGGACTGAATAATAATCGTGATTGTCTCCTTGTTATTTCCAGTTGAAATCCATCGAAGATATGCTGATGAAGAAGGTGACTGAAGCTGAGAAGAGAGTGTGTGATAAATTGAGAAACAGGCGTTTGTAGTTAGTTGTATTTTATGTTTATAATTATTGAATTGTAATAAGTTAAATTAACATTGTTTTGTCAAATAAAAAATCTTAGTACAGATTCTGTTTTTCAATTTAACTCTCTTAGAACTGCTTGCTTACTGTTATTACTTACTGCTTATTTATGTATACATAATAGTTAAAAAAATAAATACAGGCATAGATGAGATGTTTTATTCAGAAAAAAAAAACCTTTTTGTACTGCGTTCTAGTCTCATATAACCTCATGATTTCGCAGTACACAGTACTTTGTAGGAACGTTTCTACGATGTTATAAGAGAAGACCTCGCCGAACCCGTCGTTTGCGACGAAGGGCTCGGCGAGTAAATTAACCCATAGTCACCAGTCCACTGAGTTTCTCGCCGAGATCTTCTCAGTGGGTCGCGTTTCCGCGAGCGTCTTGCTAGGGGCAGTGTTAGCGACACTCCCGGCTTGAGCCCCGTGAGCTCACCTAACCGCCCGGTTACGCTGACATAGCCTCTCAAGGCTATCAGCTTACGTTGGGAAAAAAAAACTCATTACGAGTCACACTTCACACTGACTTACCACAGCTACTTTATATTATTGATTTCGTTTTACGGAAACCACTTATTTCTGTGCTCGGTTGCACTGATTTTTAACGATTGTTAATTTATTTACAGATTTTTGGTAATAATAATATAAATTTTCTTCAAAGCACACTAAAGGAGGAACAAAGGGATTTTTAAAATACCATGTCATTTAACATTATAAATGTTAAAGTTTATGCCAAGATTTTTCAACGTATCATCGGAAATACTACGAAAAGATGGCGGTTTGATTACGTCTGGTATAAATAAATCCCTATGTATGCTATTGTCTTCTGAATAAGGAAGTAACAGGATCTAGGACCGATTAACTTTCCTATGGAATCTCCGTAATCTGTCATTCACGTCTATACTGATAACATTTGCGACATTTTTCTGTTGTAGGTACCTATACAATGAGATTATGCAAACTTTAGTAAGCTAAAAGGAAATAAGAAGCATTAAATGCAATAAAAGTCATGAGACTGTTTATCTGATTAAAAAATAATATCTTTCTTCATTTATTTATAAACACTAATTGTTGTATCAGTTAAGATGAATTCATTAAAAATACATTGCTGATATTTGTATTGATCAACTAAAACGTCTATATTTTGCTTTAATTTAGAATATTTTAAAATCAATTTATCTTAAGACGTCACTCTCGGACAGGGGAAATGCCTTCCAGTGATTTTTTCAGGCGAAACTGTAAATCGGCTAAGTACTTAGGCATGCATCCCACATTAAAGCCACAAAAGGATAAATTCCAGTTGTGATTCAGAGAACCGTACTGGGTTTTAGGTATAATGTCTAAATTACCCGTAGAAAACAAACTTCTGGTCTACGGGACAACTCTATTATCGGGATAGGAGGATTATAGGGTTGCGTTTGAAATCTATCATCGACGTTCTGACGTTCAAAATGCTATACAAAAGACGTATTCCATCCTAATGAAGCTCACCGACTTCTCAGCATAGCTACGGTTAGAGGTGTAATGTAACTGATTTGTACCAGACACAGACGCGAACTAATAATCATCCAAAGCAACTGGCACACAACCCTATGCAAGGAATCCAAAAAAGACACTCAAGCGGCATGCAATCCTTGAACTGGATCAAAGATTTTGCCTCTAAATATTGACTGTTATTTGTAGAGATATTAACATAAGGCGAGTGACTGAATGCCCGTTTATTGGATCGGCTTATCTGCTTATAGTTTGCATTGCTAGCAGATTTATAACAGAAAAAAATCTAAAGTTGTGTCAAAGGTCGGGAGATGGTAAAAAGCTGAGCGTTTTATGCTAACTGCTAAATACGTAATCTTATTAGAGGCGTCTTTATATATGCAGTGTGTGGGCACAGCGGTGTTAGAGGGCACTGGCTTCGGAATTTTCAACGAACCTGTAACATTTGTACCTATTCCATTTTTTTATTGTTTAAGTGGATGGACGAGCTCACGGCCCACCCGGTGTGAAGTGGTTACCGGAGCCCGTAGATATCTACAACGTAAATGCGGCCACCCACGTTGAGATATAAGTTCTAAGGTCTCAAGTATAGTTACAACGAATGCCCCACCCTTCCAACCGAAAAGCATTACTGCTTTACGACAGAAAATGGGCAGGGTGGTGATACCTACTCGTGCGGAGTTACAAGAGGTCCTACCACCATTAAAACTATTCCATTCCCTTCCGACACTATTCCATTTTGACCACATTCTCACTAGAAGGCACTAGGGCAGTAGTTGGCGCCCTTGTCCACCAAAAGAGCCAATTAAGTAGAAAACACAATTGAAATTTATTCAAAGAGCCATTTTCTTTTACATATAAAAATATTATAAGCTTGTGTTCGCAAAAATATTTCCTAGTCTCTTACAAGGCAAGATAATACGTATTATTTTCGTGACTGAACTAAACATTTCGGGGGAGAACCGTATTATGCGGTTAGCCAGCCGCGAGTTTCCGACCCCTGCCCCTAGGGTAATGATTCTTAAGTGTATTTATTATCTCTATTAATGATTGCTACATTGGCTAGATACGCCTTTAAATCTTATATATGTATTAAGCGTATCATCTATGCTGTGTAAATAGCCAATAAAACAATCAATATTGCGGCGTTTTTATTATTGGCAATCATTATTACGTCAACAACCTATATGACATAACAGCTGATAACCTTTTTACGATAAAGAAAGGTTTAATTTCGATAAAATATCTTAACCGAGGTTAAAATAATCAACGTGATACTTTCTGCTTTTTATTATTTATTGGATATTATTATCATATACTGGGTTTTTGGTGATATTTTAATTGTCATCGGGACGATTGTATTTTAAAGTGTTCGACGCGCAACTTAATCCATGCATTAGCCCGCTGAGTTTCTTGCCAGATCTTTTCAGTGGGTCGCGATTCCGATCCGGTAGTAGATACATTCGCGAAGCAGCTACTCTTGAGTTGTTAGGTCTCCTTAGCAAGCGCTCGGGTAGCTGTTAGCAAATTCCACCCCTGGACGAGCCCTTGCTCACCCACATGTCCTGGTGAAACTGGAAAGGCCTCCGGGCTAACAGTAATCACACAATCATGAAAAAAAAAGACTAACATAATATAATTAATAAAATTATTATTAATAAAATTTTGTTTTAAAAAATAATATTTTAATCATGCCGTACATATACCGTATTCATGTTTCATTAAACAATTTACTTAATGTCTCAAAGTGGGTAGCGGCAATTACGGAACTAAAAATAGTATTGTATAAATAAATTGGCCTATGTGTTTATATTGTGAATTTAATTAAAGTAAAATTTTCAAGCAATGTTATTGCCATTCCACTTGCTGCAAACCCGGTAGTTTTCAAGCAGGCTATATTTTTATGGTATATTTTCCTTCATCCCAATATGATTCCAGCGCTAAACATTTCTGTTATCACAATTTAGTGCTTACAATGTTTGTGTGTTATCGGGGACAACGTTCTTGACAGTGTCTATCAAAGTTAATAAAGAATTAAAATGTCTGTGGCATCTTTTTAAGTGTTTATTAACGATTTTGGTTTTTTACTAATTCTTCGTAACTGTTTGTTTGTTTGTTGAATCTTGGCGTGTTCTTCGAGATATTGATAACGTTTTACGAGGAGAGTGTTCAATGAAAACAAACCAGAGATTTGTTCACGAATAATTTGCATGTTGAAAGTTTTGTTAATAAACTAAACAAAGTTTCAATACTTGTATCTAATACTGCATCGCAGTGCCTATTAATGGCCCAATATAACTCATCTGTCCATAGGTCAAGAGCTAACAAATTCAGGCGTGTCCGACTAGAAAAAAGTAATGTCAACTGATTTTTACATTAAGAGATTTCGCTCTATATATAGTAACACCAAAATCGGTACTATCAAATAATAACTTAAAGTAAAATCCAGGGTCTTAATGGAATAATAATGGTAATGATGTATCTTAAAATTATTTTAAGTATAAATAGATATATGGTACTTTAGGGTTGCCGCTATAATTTTAAATTCAAAACAAACTTTCCTTATGTATGTAATATACACGAATAGCTGTCAACCATCTTGGTTGTAATTCCCCGTTTCTTTGTTTAACGAACCAATGACTCATACATATTAGTGATGTTAGTTTGTAGTCCCGTCAAAATTCTGTTTTTTCTTGCCTTATATTCCTACGGTTAACAGTAAAAGTAGACAATGGATAACTGAGTACCTACCCTTTTTTACTTGCGATAATAGGCAGACAGTCTAAAAGTCCACCTTACCGGCACTAATTACAGAATCTACTTGCTAGCACCTAAAACTTCGATCTAAAATAATAAAAAATATGTATTTGTTAAAATCCAAAAAAGACGTTTTATGAGTAATAAGTGTGGTCAACGTGGAATATCACCATCTCGTCTACTCCCGAAGAACGCGCAGCAGTGATATCTGAAGCGCTGCCAACATACTGTGATGGTATTTACAAGCAGTAGACCGTGTTGTATGTGATAGTGTGTAGCGTGTTGATACAACTATCTTACGACTATTTTTCTACGGCGAAGCAATTATGCCTTCTGGTTTGAACTGTGGGACAATCATTTAACATGCAACTGAGACTCAGATCTCAAGGTGGGTGGCAGCATTTACTTTTTGATTTCTACGGGCTCTGGGGACCACTTAAGACAAGGAGGCTCGTCTACCCATCAAAAAAGTATTCGTGACACAGTAAGAAAAACAATGAGTCCAAACAGGATGAGTTTACAAGTAGTCTAGTCATTATATCCATCCTACAGCTCATCAAGCCTTCAAAGTTACACAGAACTAGCACGTTTCAAAATAAAACAACAGTTAGAGGGGGCTGAAAATATAAATGAACAATTCTGCTATATTTATTCATACGCACATAAGTACTTACTTACAAGTGAATTTAATAGTGTATATTCTTGTTAAGTTCTTAACGCGTATATTGCTGGCTATCTCAGGACATTGATCCAAAGTCTAAATGGAAATATATTTAACTCAAATTAACTCATCAATTAATTTCAAATTAACTCATCAATTAATTTCAAATTAACTCAGCGCTTTGCTGCGGAAATAGGTATACAAGAGTGGTTTCTAGATAGTTGTCGGAGAACAGTTTTTAAAACATAATATATTTAAAACACTTATCTGCTTGTACTTAAATTAAATAAGTACATTTCAACAAAACTATTTTTTTTCTCTGTTGGAAATAGAAACATCAATACGTAGGTATATTTATTAGAAAACGAGAATTCATATGTGCTTAATCTTAAAATTCCTACGTGAGGTCAGTGAACTTATGACAGTCACTCTGCAACTCGTATCGAAAAAATTTACAAACGCATCAAGAACACACGCAGAGCACAGAAATCGTTGTGAAAATCCATTGCTGTGTTAATGTATTAGTTTCTCACACACATATTAACCAAACTGTACCTAATTTTATTCATAACTAGCTGACCCGGCAGACTACGAATGCCTCAATTGATAAATAAAAGACCTAAACTTTTGGGGCACACATCAAAGGAAAAACAAAATTGTTTTTTTTATTTAATTCTGAGCATTTTCATATTTATCTACCTTTTAAACCTTCTCTGGACTTCCACAAATAATTAAGACCAAAATTAGGCAAATCGGTCCAGCCGTTCTCGAGTTTTAGCGAGACTAAAGAACAGCAATTAATTTATATATATATTTTTATATATTTTAATTTTGCAGCTAAATTATTAATGTTTATTGTTCGCTTGATGCTTATAATACTTCACAATCGTTCGTATCGTCACGATTTCTTGACCCGTTACGGTGATACGATATGTAGGATTCCCCTCTTACGCTGAACGATTGCAAACAAACAACCAGGATAAATATTCTTAGCAATTGTTACGTGGGTATATAAAGACGTGAAGACGCGTTAAAGCATCATTCAGTTACTGTAACTCGAAAGATACGATCGAAATGCAGAAGTTAATTATTTTCGCTTTGGTTGTCCTCTGCGTTGGTTCTGAAGCCAAAACGTTCACGAGATGCGGTCTCGTGCATGAGCTGAGGAAACATGGCTTCGAAGAAAATCTCATGAGGAACTGTGAGTAACCAGATTCAAATACGTTTTGTTCATATTCAAATTGTGATATTTTTGTTTGTTTTTAAAGAAGGTATAAAATTTTCCGTTGTATTTTTTTAAATAGAAAAAATTCGGAGCGAAGTATTGGAAATATTTGAATTAAGTCTTACGAATAAGTTTATTAAATCTCATCCAATTTAATTAGTACAACTTGATAAAAAAGTAATTAATGAAACAATAAAGCATTTTTTTTGTACACTTGATAAAATTTCGGCTATTCCATTTTTGCGATGTTTATGTAACAATATGCATAAAAAATATTATTTTAGCATTAATTTTTATTTTAATTTTAAATACCAAAAATAATTAAATACGCTGCATAAAAAAAAGAACTTAATATTTTATGAAATAAATAATTAGGTGAAGCTTTGTAACTATGCTTTATTAAATATTATATTGTATTCTCGTTAAAAGTCGAAGTAAATAGAGTTGTGCGACAAAATTTTACACTTCAAAATAGGTAAATTAACTTAGCGCTATCTATTTAAAGATCTATAACAACGGCCATAAGTCTAAGTTCTTAGTTGATGAATAAAGCGAATATTTAGATAATACGCTTGTACTATTTGGACCTCTGGTAGCCAGTCCGGTCACCGTTCTCGTCGAACCCGTCGCTTGCGACGAAGGGCTCGACGAGTAAATTAACTCTCAGACACAGCCCACTGAGTTTCTCGCTGGATCTTCTCAGTGGGTCGCGTTTCCGATCCGGTGGTAGATTCTGCGAAGCACTGCTCTTGCTAGGGTTCGTGTTAGCATCGTCATCAGGTTTGAGCCCCGTGAGCTCACCTACTAGCCACGGTGCTTATTGGAGCCTATAGACATCAACAACGTAAATTGTGCCACGCACTTTGAGGCATGAATTTTATGTTTCGGTTCTATAGCACTAGGTTAAGATTCTATTTTGAACCACTTTTTTTTTCATGATACATTACCTAATTGGCATTCCCGTGTCGAGTCGATAGATCACTCGGCAGTGGATTTACGTTTAGTACTGGACTAATGCAACAATTAGACACGGCCGAAATATTTTTACCATTGATTTTTGTCTTGATAACTAAAAAAACAACGATTCGTGAACATGATTATTTTATTACCATATTAAAAACCATGTAATTTTTAACAATGAAATTTACATTAACATAGTCACGTACAAGCGTTACAACCCAATCGGTTTTATGTAAAACTAGCCGTACTCGCCCGCTTCGCTGGGCATTTCAAATTAACGTTATTATTTATTGTCATTATTATTAGGGAGTCCTTACTACTCATATATAAATATTAGCATATCCATTAAGTACATGTATTTTCTACATGGATACCAAGTTTCAAGTCAATCGGATGCAGGGTTCAGTAGTTATAACGGAACATCCGTAGAAACCACTGTAGATTTATATATTAGTACTAGCTTTTGCCTGCGACTTTCGTCTGCGTGGAATAGTTACTTTGGCATAACCCGATTTTGAAACATTATTTATTGTTGCTCCGCTTGTTGGTCTTAGCGTGATGCTATATAGCCTATATGCCTTCCTCGATAAATGAGCTATCTAACACTGAAATAATTTTTCAAATCGAACCAGTAGTTCCTGAGATTATCGCGTTCAAAGAAACAAACTCTTCAGCTTTATAATATTAGTATAGATCAGCGGTCGAGGAACTTTTTAAATTATGTATTACCTCAAAATATTTTTGTGTAAGTTAAAATTACCCCATGGCGAAGAACAAAAAATAACGGAATCGCTTCTTTTTAGCATCTTCCATATTGTAGCACACATGATAATTTCTAAAAAAAAAAAATGTTTCCTTTCTTTTCATTTCGTTTCATCGTGTTTGAAATCACAACGATTCTAAAGAAGTTTCACTTAAATATATACTTTTTACTCACAAAAGTTTCATTTTTACCCCCCAAAATTTCATTTTACCCCATTTGGGGTAATTTACCTCGGTTCCCCTACCGCTGGTATTGATAGAATAAATGTCACGTTGTTTATCAATAAATATAACCACATTTTTAAACAGGGGTATGTCTGGTCGAGCACGAGAGCAGCCGTGACACGTCCAAGACGAACACGAACCGTAACGGCTCGAAGGACTACGGATTGTTCCAGATCAACGACCGGTACTGGTGCAGCAAAGGTGCCAGTCCAGGCAAAGACTGCAACGTTAAGTGCTCCGGTAAGTGTTTCATATGCAAATCAATATATTTTCACAATGCTCAAAAGTTAATTATACTCAACAAAAATGTTTACGGGTGTCGGCCACTAGTTGGATTCGCTTCGATTAGTTCCTCATTCGTCCTGTACATGGCAGTAACATATTATGTACCTATACTATTTTGTACATTTCCAGAAACCACAGATTGATAAAATTTAATCATTTTTTTAATAAAAATAATGACTTGTATGATTTATATTTTTTTTATTTTCTGTGTTTAGTTATACAATAATTAAATGCCTTAACTTTAACAAAATATAAGCTCAGGGGCATCTGCTACAAGATGTCGCTAGTTTCCATACAAAAAAATATTTGTCTTATAGTATTGCAGTTTTAGGGCCCTTGTGGTGACGGTATTGTAAGGTGTCCGCAAAAAATTAACTAGATGGCGCTGTTAAATACACTTCGAACACATAGATGGCGCCGATTCTCGCGTTATAGGATTTCGCTTTGGAATTGTTCATGCACTTTTGCTGGGCATAGTACCCTTTCTTGAAACTTGTTCTCGGAAATAATATTTTCTTAAGTACTAGTAATTACGGAAAATTTTAATACTAGAATGAACGTTTGTTTTTTTCAGACCTCCTGACTGACGACATCACTAAGGCAGCGAAATGCGCTAAGAAAATTTACAAACGTCACCGCTTCGATGCCTGGTACGGTTGGAAGAACCACTGCCAGGGCTCCTTACCTGATATTAGCAGCTGCTAAATTAGACTGTGAACTTCAGCTACACTTTCGATTCGATCTCCTCGAAACAGAACTGTGTGCTTAGTGCGAGTTTTTTAACGTTCTCGATAGCGTAAAAGTGTAATGAAATTTGTATGCAGTTCGAACAACGCCCCTAGCGGCAAACGTAGGTAAACATTCTAAGTCTATATAAATTTATGTTAACTTTTACGTTATCGAGAACGTTAAAAAACTCGCACTAAGCACACAGATTGCATATTCAAATCTGGCGCGCAATCGCTTTGACAAAAATTCGGGGCTATCATTCAATACATTTAACATTTTAGACATTTAAACAAACACATGTCAAAATGTTTTTTTTTGAAGCTACTTCGATCCAATTTAATCGGAAAACATTGATCTATTCGAAGTGTAGGTACTGATTGACATGAAGCTGTTTTTTTTTCCTTTTTAATGCTGCAAGATACCTTCAAAATAAAAGGATGATATTTCCTAAAGATAATGCAAGTCCAAATGGATTTTTGATCGTAATGCGTTTCTTCACATAAACACCACCATGCCAGATTGAATTCGTCTTAATGAAAACACACGGATGTTTCTCGATGTTCTAGCCGATACCGACGCTAATGTGAACCTGATTAATTGAAGTAGCCTAAAATCATTTTAGTGTGTGATTGTTGAGTTAATTTGTTTTCTGACGATCCTTTTCGTCAATTGGAAAATTGTGTGGCTAGAATAAGCCAGAACTTTTAATTGAATTGAAGCCGCGGACGAATTTATTAATGAAAGTCTGCTAATTAAATTGTTATTTGGTAAAATGTGATAATTAGGTTGATTTTAATTTTTTGTTATTTCATTTGGTACCTAACTACAATTATAGCTATTTGTGATCTATTCGGTTAAGACATCTATTGCACAGTAAATTGTAATTATTTTGATTTAAGATGAAATATGTTATTTTAATATGATAATAAACTTTTATTTAATAGAATATACATTTTTTTTCTTAAGATAATCTTTCAAGCTTCCTTAAGATTCCTATGGATAATAATCATTTCATCATCATCTTTCATCTTTTTTTCCATATACCTAGTCTTGCCATAAATACTGAGACAAAGGAAAAAAAAATTCTATTGTAAATAACATTTATTACTTTTTCAGTGTGTTAGTTGAATACATAAATATAAAACAATTTAAAGTATAAAAAGCTTATTCGAAGTGGTCTCCATTGACTGCAATACAGTCCTTTAAACGTTGAGGCCAGATATCAATAGAAGCACGCACTCTTTCCATGGGAAAAATTTTCACTGCTAATCGTGCGGATTGTTTTAGGGACTCCAAATTATCATGGCGTTTAGAGCAAGCCGTACTCTCTAAAACTGACCATAAATCATAATCCAGCGGATTAAGATCGGGACTAGACGACGGCCAGTCTTCAGCTCTGATGAAGTCCGAAACGTTCGTTTCTTGATTATTGAACATGGTGTTGTTAAGGGGCTTCATTACCTTCTCAAGAATGGTATCTTGATACACTTGTGCCGATGTTTTGATACCTTTTTCACAAAAGTATGGCTCAGTCACTCCTTCATAGCTAATACCCCACCAAACCATCACTGAAGTCGGATAGTGTCCACGTGGCACTCTGTCGACTAATTGGGAAGCTTCCTTAGAGCTTTGAGCATAAATACGGTCACTTTGTTTGTTAAAATGTTGCTCAATTGTAAAAAAATTCTCATCCGTAAACAAAAAATTTCTATGACCTCCCGTTGCGTATCGCTTCAGTAGTTCTTTCGATTTTACCACCCTATTCTCTTTTAAAATATCAGTTAAGAAATGACCAGTACGTCTCCTATAGGCTGCCAGTCCTAAGTCATCTTTTAAAATACGCGACATGGTTCTAGGTGCTATCTTCATCTCCCTTCATCTTTTGCTTTCGGACAGGATTTCTTCGAATTCTTTCCCTTACTGCTTCGACCACCTTTTTCGTACGAACACTACGCAGACGGCCAGATCTTTTTCTGTCACAAGCAGAGGAGGTCTCATTGCACCTATCAATAGCCCGGTACACAAACATTTTACTAATACTAAGCGTATCTAGAGTTTTAAAAATTGCATTTGGCTCCATACCTACTTTGTGTAATGCAATCACAGCGATTCGGTTCTCTTTATCACCCCACTCCATTTTAATATCGCAAAATATTGTACAACGTATTGGCGCCAAAATGAGAAAACTCAATGAGCAATCATATAAAAATGACAGATTCCAAATTCAAATGTAATATTTTGTTTATTTTTAATTGTAACAGTATTTATGGCCAGACTAAGTATAATTCGAATACTAGACACCACTTCAAGTATCCCCTCTCGTATGAGGCGCAGTAGCTCCATTTCAGAGTTCGACCTGCAACCTAGTCCATAAACACAACCGGCTGAGTGTCTCGCCGGATCTATTAAGTCGCAGTTCCGATCCGGTGGTCGTCGTAGCCTAACGGATAAGACGTCCGATGTATTCGTGTTGAGCGATGCACCGGTGTTCGAATCTCAGGCGGGTACCAATTTTTCTAATGAAATACGTACTCAACAAATGTTTACGATTGATTTCCACGGTGAAGGAATAACATCGTGTAATAAAAATGAAACCCGCAAAATTATAATTTGCGTAATTACTGGTGGTAGGACCTCTTGTGAGTCCGCGCGGATGGGTACCACCACCCTGCCTATTTCTGCCGTGAAGCAGTAATGCGTTTCGGTTTGAAGGGTGGAGCAGCCATTGTAACTATACTTGAGACCTTAGAACTTATATCTCAAGGTGGGTGGCGCATTTACCTTGTAGATGTCTATGGCCTCCAGTAACAACTTAACACCAGGTGGGCTGTGAGCTCGTCCACCCATGTAAGCAATAAAAAAAATAAAAAATAAAAAATATCTCCTCCTACCCATCTGAGCGTAGTTGGAATAGACCCATAAGCCAGCCACGATTATTTCGAAAACAAAAGGATCTATTAAGCGTATTACGGGCTTCGCACTTGTCCGTTTTTGTTTAACGTGAAAAATCCTCTTGTACATTTGCGATCCTGAAAATCGATATAAAAGCCATTAAAGCTCACAATTTAATGTTTTTGAAGCAAAATGATCACCTCGCCGTACGCAAAATTTATAAACAATTTATCATACCAAAAGAAAGTAATTAAAAAACTGACAAAGGCTTTTGATTGGTTGGGTTTTCTATAAGCGTTTGTCTACACTATATTCTCTCTATGGAATTTGTCACTATTGCACTTATTTTATGGTGCGAAGTATTAATAGATGTTAAATTAAATTTGTAAAATATAAAATGTTTATTTTTATGTACGTAAATATCATAATTCCATCTCTATAATTTAAAAATAATAATTTATTATTAACAGTCAAACAAAAATAAAATCGCAGATAAAGCAAAAATATTCGATGGTTCCTTACTTATTTATTCTCATGTAAAAGACAATGTTAAGTAGTATACCGTGAAATTGTTTGAACTAAAGGAAGGAGCTGTGAAAAATAAATTCAATTTCTTCCCGTGTATCCTGAGATTAATAAAAGATGGCGGCGTCGCGATTATGCGCATGCGTGTAAATCGACTAGCCCCCACGGAACAGTTGCGAGAGGTAGTCACTCGGTGATGTACGGGCTCGAATGGGCGCCGCGGGATGGGCGCGCGGTGAAGCCCGCGTGGCCGACGACTCCGACTTCGAAACCCTGAAGAGTCTGCTGGCTTCGGACCGCGGCTGGACCCTCGAGTACGAACGCGACGGCGTCAAGGTCTGGGTGGAGGATGCGGCCCACGGCGCGCTCAGAACCGTCAAGGTATGTTTGTGTTCTCGTAACGAGGAACGCCTGACGCTTATTTATTATCTATATTATATTACCGGCGTAAATAATTCATAGATATATATAAAAATGAATTGCTGTTCGTAAGTCTTGCTACAACTCGAGAACGGCTGAAACGATTTGGCTAATTTTGGTCTTGAATTATTTGTGAAAGTCCAGAGAAGGTTTAAAGGTAAATAAATATGTAAAATGCTCGGAATTAAATAAAAATAACAATTTTGTTTTTCCTTTGATGTGTCCCCCGTCGGACGGATTCCTTTTGTTTGCTTAAAGTTTATTTTATACAAAAGTTTAAGTCGTTTATTTATCGATTGAGGCACTACGAAGTCTGCCGAGTCAGCTAGTAATTTAATAAAATTCTCAATTTATTTTACAAACGCTATACATATAGGTAGTTCTTACTAATATATTAAAAATGTTCAGAAAAAGAATACTTCACGTAAATCGGTATTCATTATAATATGTACATATTTAACGTGCTCAATAATATATTTCATATAATGCCGTCAATCGATTTTATGTCAATTTCAATATGCAGCACTCGAAGGTAATGTAATAAATTTAAAACTATTTTTTAACCTATTTCAAAAATTTCTTATTTTGCTAGTATTTTTTGTTCTCAAAGCTTTTTCAAGGAAAACCGATTTTGATTATTTTCTTAAATTTAAAACTAGTGCATCTCATAATGTCCTATTTAAATATTATCAAGATCTGAATAAGAAATTATTAATGACTTATAATATATGAAATTGAGGGAATAACTTGTTGAATACATGTTATATTTTTTAAATTAGCTCCCAATTAAAATTTACAAAAAATAGAACTGCGATCTGTCTAATTCGTCTGCACAACATTATTTGACTCAGCGGTTATCTGGATTAAAATAGTATGAGCGATAAGACTTACTTTTATACTTTCGGATCATCATTGTAATCTTTGGAATCTACTACTTTTGGTGTGCAGTAATGCACAATCTAGTCTACGATATTATGTTTTTAGAGTTGTAGACATATTGTCCAAAACACGTTGTAAGTTGTTGGGCCTCTTCCCAAAGCGTTACTTCAAGCTTGACAGGCATTTATCTATACTAATATATAAATCTACAGTGGTTTTTATGGATGTTCCATTATAACTACTGAACCGTGCATCCGATTGACTTGAAACTTGGTATCCATGTAGAAAATACATGTACTTAATGGATAGGTTAACATTTGTATGAGTGTTGGACTCCCTACACCAGTTGCGGGGGCGTTAATAATGAGAATGTTTGTGGGGGTGAGCAATAATAATGTTAATTTTAAATGTCCAGCGAAGCGGACGGCTATAGCTTGTACTTTATAAGGTACAGGTCCGATCTCTCGCGGAGTACTACTGCCACTAGTGAGCTAGGGCTTCCAATACCAGCTACTTCTATTTGACTACATGCAGAAGAGAGCCCTTCAGGCTGCGAACAGTCCTGTTCTCACGAATTGTCTAGGAACTAAAATCAGAATGTATATTATTTTTACCAACATTAAGAATCTTATTACTCACCCTTACCTAAGAACTTACTTACCTAAGAATCTTATTACTTACTTATTTATGATACTATAATATATATTGTAATAAATATACTAAATTAATCAAAAAAGATTTTGAAGGTGCAATTAAATAAAAATTATTTCCTTTTTTTTATGATTGAAAGATTACTGGTGGCCCGGAGGCCTTTCCAGTTTCACCAGGACAGGTGGGCGAGCAAAGGCTCAGCCGCCAGGAGGGGTGGGATTTGCAAACAGCTGCCCCAGCGCCTCCGAAGGAGACCTAACAACTCAAGAGCAATTGCTTCGCTAATGAATCTACTACCGAATCGGAATCGCGACCCGCTGAGAAGATCCGGCGAGAAACTCAGTGGGCTGATGCATGGGTTAGGTTACACGTCGACCTCTTTGTCGAGTTAAAATTTCCTCGGGTGGCATTGTCTTAGCTTTATTATTATATGTACTTTTAATCTTTTTAAAATAGGATTATAAAAAAAAAGATTTAAAACAAATTTAGCACGCTTTTACTAGCTTAATATGGATGTAGTATGTGTGTTGCCATATTGTATATACATAGGTACAATTAAGTTGAGATTAAAGAGCAATAATTCTATGTTAAAGTGAAATATGGCGGTGGAATTATTCACAAAAGCTTAAATATAACCGTGTAATAAATTGGGTGCCCTTTTTACATTAAATTTGGCCTTGGTGGATTAACATGTTAATTGTCATACTGGTGATTCATACATTGCGAAGTGGTTGCGTGGATCTGATAACTTTTTTTTATGATGATATGCTAGTGAGTCGATAACACCTTTGGGATCGAAGCGCTCTGAACTATGTTAGAATTTTAGTTAGAATATATATATTATAAATAGAAAACAATACAAAGACAATGTACAAAGATCTAAGGAATCTCCTTTCAACAAGTCACTAATTCAGTTAAATTTTCAACTATGTACATATATATTTATGTATACTAGTGGTCCCGCAGTAGTCGAAATTGGACTATAATTAATTGAAATTATAACTTTGAACATTATTATGGTTCTATTGTCAGACTTTTATACTTCTTCACAGATTTCGCCAAGACTAAACTATAGACAAATAGTATTACAGATAAACAATATTAACCTATTCTCAATTTGACCATGACTTTAAGCAATAACAAAAGTTTGAGAATAAACAAAGTGTGTGCGTGTCAAATACACGGTAGTGTGTGTATTTATTGTTTTTATTTATTAAATATGTATTATATTATTAATGCATAATTTTTTAAAAATATTAGAATTCTGCATGCACTCCTTCTCTATATTCTCTATAAGTGTGGGAAATTTCATACTCCTCCGTCCGCGCAATTTTCATAAAAAGGGTACCAAGTTTTTGCTTCACGTATTAATATATAGATATTAATATGTGTGAGAGAAGTTATACTGTACACCCAAGATGTTTACGTCTACACATTTAATAAATATCACCCAAACAAACATCGTTCTTTAATTTCTAATTGTTTCAAACGATTATTTCGTACTGATTTTCCAAGAGTACCATAATCGTATCATTGGTAAGGTTAGGGTGATTTTTTCCCCAATGTATTCGCTGGTAGTCTAATGGGCTATTTCAGCTACGCTGTGACTGATAGGTGAGCTCATGAGGCTCAATCTGAGAGAGTGTGCTAAGACCGACCTTAGCAAAAGCAGCGCTTCACAGAATCTACCACCGGATCGGAATCGCGACCCACTGAGAAGATCCGGCGAGAAACTCAGTGGGTCGTGTCTCTAGAACTAATAATAATCGCTCGTCTAGCTCTTCGTCGTAGTCGACGAGTTTGACGAAGGCGGTGATCGGTGCTTGAAGATTTTATTTATTTATTATTATTATTAGATGGTTGGAGGAGCTCACAGCCCACCTGGTGTTAAGTGGTTACTGGGGCCCATAGACATCTACAACGTAAATGCGCCACCCACCTTGAGATATAAGTTTTAAGGTCTCAAGTATAGTTACAACGGCTGCCCCACGCTTCAAGCCGAAACGCATTACTGCTTCATGGCAGAAATAGGCAGGATGGTGGTACCTATCCGCGCGGACTCACGTACGAAACGAAGCGGAAAACATTACCGAAAACTTTAATGGAAATTTTAATAATAATAATATAATAATAATAATGTTTTTATTGCAAGTAACCATGACTCATATAAATTGTTAATAAGACTTAGACCTATGTTAGTAGTTATATTTACATCACAATGAATTACTGTCGTAACATCCCATGGGAGATGGCACCACAGCGACCCATGTATACACAGTCCAGCCTGCTTGCGATCATGCTCAGGATACTGTTGGAGCTGGCCCTNATTACTGTCGTAACATCCCATGGGAGATGGCACCACAGCGACCCATGTATACACAGTCCAGCCTGCTTGCGATCATGCTCAGGATACTGTTGGAGCTGGCCCTCACTCTGCTTACCAGAGATGCACACCTCTTACGCATGGTAGCGTAAAAACAATCTATGTGCGCGTCTGCAAACATCCCTGATGCGCTACAAAAGCGGGGCAGCAACGTGTTATTATATTGAACACGGATAGTAATGACAGTAAAAAAAAGCGAGATTAAATCGTAAACGTCGCTTGAATTAATCCTAAATCCGTTTTTAAATTATGCGTATCTTTTGTAAGTTAATTATCGTGTTCAATAAATCTCATTAATTGATTACTTAAGTTCGTTGTTCGGAAATTGTCGACATTAATTTTCACTCGAGTTCATTCGTAGAGGCCATTAATTTTAGATAAACTCCCTCCCTAATAACAAAGATCTAGTTACGGAACTGTCATAGCTCACTATTTACATTTTATTGCCTCCAATTAACTAAATTCTAGCTACTAATAAGACAGCAGACCCTTATATTCTAGATATAAAACGATTTCATTCCTCAGGGAGCTGGGCTTCTGAAGGATTCACACATTTATTTTTATCCATTTAGGGTTTATAGTTCACTGGCTACAGCGGCTTTGATGTTCGGTAGAAGGGTTTATTTACGTGTTCACAATATTTAATCCCCTATAGACCTCCGATGCCCTATAGGTATTATCCTACCTTCAAAGGGCTTACGAGGGTTCCGGAAACTTCGCTTACGTACCAAGAAACCAAATAATTTTGCGGCCTTTTTTATTAGTTTACGTAGATGGAAGAGAATGTAGTAGTATTAGTCTGTAGTTGGAAGTACGCCTTTATGAAGTCCACGAAATGTGGTGTTGGTAAGCTTTAACTATTTTGGATGTATACGGCATGTTGTAGCTAAAGCCAATAGTCACGACCATACGACATCGCCTCTGTATGCTTAGTGCGAGTTTTTTTAACTTCTCGATCGCGTAAAAGTTAACTCAAATTTGTATGGAGTTTATAAGGGTGCAGGGGAGTCGTTTAATGCGGTAGGGCCCTAAAACATACTTGGGCCTG